CCTTAGATTTCTGGCAGCTTACACAGGAGTGTGCCCACTCCCTCACGTCTTTATTCATACCAGTCCAGCAAAACCGTTCGGCTGTAAGCGCAAGCAGGGTTGCCTTAGCGATATGTTCCTTAACTGTGGAGAATGCTTTTCGAGCGGTGTTGTCTAAACTAATTGATTTTGCATTTCCACGAAGTTGGTTGGTTAACTGTTTCATAAGGGACGCGCATTTATGTATGAACCGTCTGTAGAAACTTACAAGGTCGTTAAAAGTGTGCAATCGCTTAATCGTGGTTGGTTCTGGGTAATCCAGAATGGCCGCCACTTTGCTTCTAAGGGGTCGAATGCCTTGAGCATCGATGGTGTGTACTAGGAAGTCTAAAGAGTTTGTTCCGATTTGGCATTTCTGAATGTTGACAGTAATGCCATGCCTTCGTAGTCGTTCGAAAGCAATGTCCAGATGCTGTAGATGTGATTCTCTGCCCGGACTTGCTATGAGGCAGTCATCAACATACGCATGTACGAAGTTGAGATCTTGTAAGACGTCGTTTATGAACCTTTGGAATTTTTGAGCGGCATTTCTTAAACCGAAAGGCATTCGTAAGAATTCGTAGAGGCCGAAAGGAGTTATGATGGCGGTTTTCGGAATCCCATCATTTGCCATAGGTATTTGGTTGCAACCTTTAACTAAGGCAGTTATACTTTTCAAGGTAGCTGTCAAATCGTGAATGAGTGGCAACGGGTAACGATCGGGAATAGTATTAGCATTCAGACGCCGATAATCACCAGTTGGACGCCAATCATTGCTGTCCTTTATAGGGACCATGTGCAAGGGAGATGACCAAGGGCTATTTGATGGTCGAATTATCCCTAAGTCTATCATGTGGTCGTATTCGTCTTTAGCTAACCTATGCTTTTCGGGCGCCAGTCGTCGTGCTTTTGAGAATGCAAGTGATCCTGTATTCCAGATGTGATGTGTAACATTGCTGGTTACACACGGCAAGTTAGGTTTCGGTTGATATGTCACGGAGTATTTATCGAGTAATGGTTGATATAAGGGGTCTATGGCAGGCTTAATTGTGACTGGGGATAATCTGCAACCAGAAAAAGGAGTTACGCAAACAGATAATTTAGTGTTACCGTCTATCAACCTTCGAGAGCGTGTGTTAATGAGTAGATTGTGGTATTGTAGCAGGTCAATACCAATGATTGGCATGGACACATCTGCAACAACGAAAATCCAGTGAATAGGTTTGCGTAAACCCACGTTAAGGTAAACGTACCTTTTACAATATGTAGCAATCGGTTTTCAGTTCGCCTACCGCAAACTTAAAACAGACTCGTGAAGTCTGTCGTCGGGATTTGCTGGAAGAACGCTAACGTCTGCGCCAGTGTCTACGAGGTAGCGAACTTTCGTGGTCACATCTGTGACGTACAAGAGGCGGCTGTGTTCGCCGGCTACGGTCGCCGTTAACGCGTGCCGGCTTGGAAGTTTCCCGAGTTCTTATTCGTGTCAGTCGACTTAGAGTTCGGGTAATTGCAGGGTTTCCTGCAATTTCTAGAAGACTTGCCATACTGGTTATGATACCAGCACCAGTCGGGATTATCTGTCTCTCGTGGTCGAGGGACAGGTCGCCTACGTGATACGCTTCTTCGCGCGGTTCTTGACTGACTACGATCATCGTGTTAGTTTATGACATAATTCTTTAATGTCATTCTGGGTCGTTTGAGGTTTTTCTTTGACTGATTTGGTAATTTCTAAAATGCGATCAGCAGATGCAGCCAGTTCGTCTAAGGCGTTGTTTTGAAAAGAAACGAGAACTGCTTGCGCTTTTCTCGGGAGTTTAAACAAGAAGAGTAGTTTAAATAGGCCATCATCGAAAGTTATTGACCTATTACCATTTTCATCCTTAACAACATGTCTGTCGCGGAACCATGTCACAGGTCAATATTGTTAAGTAGTTGATCCAACCGTTGTCGATCGGTTAGATCTCCGCATTTTAGAATTGACCTTTTGAGAGTTTCGTAAAGTTCCGGAACATCACTAGTAAACACACTAGGTGTTACGTACCTGTTGAATTCGCGCGGTAGTGCCTTAACCACCGCGAGCGTGAGTCCGTATTGCATTGGCCGCAAAAGTCAGCTTCTACGTAGCAGAACCAGACTTCGATATTATCAGGCCAGAAGGGAGTTAATTGAATCGATGGTGAGGGAATAGTTTTTAACTTAAATACCTTGGGTGTCCGTTCCGTCATAGTATTATTAGAACGAAAAATATATCCGAAAAACTCGAAAAAAAGGTATATCACAATATATCAAAATCAATTAAAGAATAACAATGAATAATGAAATTTCATGAAGGAACAGACTCACAGTTTGTGCGCTTAGTGTACCAAATCACGTCGGGCTCACCACTGAAGATACAACCGGTATGGTAGTTTTGCAACTATAAACCAGTAACACCTTCTACATTCGAATCTTCCCCCAATCGTTTAAAATCAGAAGTCAGATGCGAAGAGATTGGAAAGATATATTTGATGCGTTATCAATATTGTAGTATCAGTTTATATGTTAAGCCCATATACTTCATTCTAGTTGCTGGCCAAGCCAATTCGCCTGTTCATAATGTGTCATATTTTGATCTTGCTAATTATTCGCTTATTAACCTTGACTACTATTTTATATGAGCGTATATGTGTACCCTTCGTATCTTACTCATCATATGTCTGTCATCCATTCTTGTCTGATCATAAATATTGAGTAATGCTTGCTCATAGCGAGTTGGCTTCCCCGCCAATCTCCAATACGCATTGTTTTCGTTTCGCTCTCGAGTTGGCTTCCCAGACATCTCCACTTCATGTCATTTTCGCTTCGCTTTATTCGCTTCATCACCCTGATTCCCTGGCCAGATCAATGAGTGTAGAAAAAATATATATTCTAAATCCATTCTCGTATTTGACTTATTTAACTCCGTTGTTTACCAACGCAGATAAAGTCATGTATTACATACGAGGATAGACAGTACGTATATATTAGCAACAAACAATCAATCATACGACCAAAAAGGAATCAGATTTACGGCACTACAATATATCGAGAAGCGTTTGCTCTAATCTGGATAGTGAACGTAGGAGCTGTGTCCCACGCTGGGTCGTAACGTGATCTGGTGCAGACGCATGACCGAACGCCTTCAGTTAAACAAGTCCACTTAAAACAATGTGGTTAGCATCCAATGTCGAACACTCAAAGAGCTATTGATTTTGGGGAATTATTTACAGCTACAGAAGGAAGTAAGCGAGTCGGAATTTTCCAAGGACAGACATAATTGAGATAATTAAATATGTGCTGCATGAGAATGAAACCTGAGAGACAGTTAAAATTGCAACGTTATTTTTAACTGTCCTAGCAAGCGAATTCACATGGATCCAGTAACTTATACACGAGTCATGTATTTACAAGAATATGAATGTATGTAATTAATTGAAATGGCCCGTCCTACCGCACAGTAGTTCAGCCTTGGTATTATTATGATCAAATTGTTATGAGACTACGGTTTTTGGACAGCCTACAAGCGACACCAGGTGACCTTGAGACAGCCCACCTGCTTACAGGGTCTCGAAATCAGTATGGCATGGTCAAGAAGTCATGTTGATTTCGCTCATATGTTACATGTTGTCGCGGATTTTTAGTATCGTTTTTTATCGGCTAATCACAGCATTTATCCGTCACGCGTTTTAAAACTCACTGACTTATTTACCTTGCCAACAGTATTAGAATATATATTTCGAATCTAGAGTTAGAATTTAAGTAACGGTTCCTATGACAAACTGATTTCATTTATATTGGGAAATAAGTTTCGCTTCAAACTCCAGGACTTGTTGTCCTTAGTTCAATTGGTTCGTACATAAAAATATATGTATTAAAAATATAAGTATTTATTTCATTAGTCATTTACTCTAACGGTGATCCTAGCCGTCTGACCGATTTGCACGTTACATAAGATTTACATTCGAACAGGCAATAGGAGTAGACGCACATTGCATATCTAGGACTTAATAACGAATTTGTTCGTACTACTCTGTGTGCTTAATAATTTATTGTCTTTCCAGCTTCATAAACTGTTTCCAGATATGATATTTCACTAGCCTTACACACTAGGAGTAGCACCGTTCATCCACAATTTGTGCTAGCGTCAGCAACCATTAAAGTGGAATTTAAGTTCCCATCATTTATCCGAGTTATCTACAAAGGAAGTATGTAGTCACTAGGATCTGTTACTTCACAATCCGATAAAGATATACACTTCTGATTTATATAGACGATCTGTTATATCCTCTCCATAATGAGTATTGTTCAGCAGCACTCCATTGCTATCAATAGCGTGTATAGACCAAATAGAAAATGAGTTAAAATATTGTGGTTTACACGCCGAACTTTTACGAAATCAATGTTTTCCAGTCTTCATGTCCCTATTTAAAAGGCTATGAACTGAGTGGAAATGTTAGAATTTATACTGATTTCTCTTTCGATACAATGAAAAACCCAATGTTTCGCCACCATACATTAAACGCTGCAACATTCACTTATTAAGAAAATGCATGTAATAAGTTTCATACGTCCATCCCAAAAAGTGTTATTCCAAACCTGCTTGATATAGTTTCTATATCGGATGCGAATATGCCTACGGATCATATCGGCCATGAAAATCTAGCGGCTAACCAATGAGGATTTATAGAAACGCATGCTTCAGGACTAGTAGAACTTGGTACAAAATACAGATAAATCTATGATATGACTCCCCAATTTATGATCCCACCAGGAAATGTGATCCTGTCACTAAAATGATACGGCATTGCAGTGACCACAGCATATCCTTACATTGATCTTAACATCAGAATGATCAGATGTTTCAATGCTAAACAAACATCCAACTCTGCCAATTGATTTGACGTCACCTCGTTGAAGTCGGTACACTTCTTATCATCTCATATATTCATTATGAACTTGTGTATGAATATATCTTATGTAATTATCAATAAACACCCTGGACATGATGCGAAAAAGGAGACATACTAATTATCATATAACTGAGATGATGCTTTGCAATTGTTATGATCTGGTCTACACAACTAACACGTAACGACATTTCTAGCCTTTATGTATTCAAACAGGTTTCTTGATTGATACCGTCGGTCTTGCGTACGTTTTTCATATATAACAAACGGGAATGTAATGTTCTGTTTACAATGAAGTATGCTTCATCGCTTTTTCCTATTCTGCACTGTAAGTTTGCTCAATCTATGTGATAAATCTTTATTGCATAACTAAAAATTCTTTTAACGAAAACTCATTTGAACTTACAGTCATAATCACTATGTCCATTTTTACACATTTGACGTTTCTAAGTCTCTATCCGCTTAGTGTGCAAATATTTTTTTCAATTTTTGACACAAGCAGGAAATTCGCTATTATGAAAAAATCGCACGTCACAGTTGTTGGCTCACTCAACGTTGACCTATCCGTGTAATTCCAAATAATCCTAATGTGCAATATTCCTAGATTCACAAATATCATTCCAAAGGTAGGAGAGACAGTAACTGGTTCGAGTTTTCTTCTTGGTTACGGGGGTAAAGGAGCAAATCAGTGTGTGGCTTCCAGAGTACTGGGATGCAACACTGCACTGGTAGGGAAAGTTGGCGATGATTATTTTGGTGAGATGTTTATTCAGCACTTGAAACAACTTGGAGTGAACACTGGTAAGTGAAATTTGAGAGAAACGTCAATGACCTAACAATATTTACATGCAATTAATTCCCATTTCCTACACCCCACAAGTGTAAAAAAAACAGCCAACACTATCGAAACAATTTATATCCTGTCAGTATTCACTAAGCACGCGTAGTTAATCTTTTTAAACTATTTCGAGAAGTAATTAGGATTTTTTGTGACACGCCTAATTTGACAACCCATCCTAGTTGCTCTTACTCGCCTTTATCAAGACATTTCTTACTGGTTCCAGTCCTAATCACTCCCGTACAAATAGTAATTTAGTTCTTTTGTCGATTTCATTGTCATATTGTGTACTAGTATATTAATTGACAATATTCTGATTTAAACTTAGACGGTATATCAAGATCATCAATGAATAGTACTGGAGTTGCATCAATTACAGTTGAAACAGGAACAGGTGGAAATCAAATTATCATCGTCCCAGGTGCAAATATGCTTGTATCAGAAAAAGACATTTCCTTTGCAGAGAAACTAACCCTCTTGGATACAAAAGTAATAGTTTGCCAGTTTGAAGTGAGTTTGTTGCAATCATTTGATTAGCTATCAATTATGCTGCAAACCCTAACATGTCTATTGAGCTTAGTATGTCTTCGTATGATGCGAACGCTAAGGTTCACTGCCTAGACATCTCAGTAAAATTGTAAGCAATCATACGAATACACACACCAAGCAAAAGCGTCTTCAACTTCATCGACAACAAAAATCGAGCATATAGAGGACTGTAGACTAGCTCAACGTTGCATATACACGTGTTGTAATAAATCATAAACTCCTGTCTACTTCAAACACACACAAGGAACGATTTTTGGGTTTCAGGGTTTTAACCAAGTTGTTCTTTGTCTTATTGCTGAAGAAACGGGAATTCTCATTGGCTTGTGTAATAAATCACATACTTATTAGCGTAAGCAAAATAAATATGTGGCATTTTCATTTATATTTCTCCTCATGTATGCTTAAGGAAACCCATTCAATGGCTTATCTAAAGTCATCTTTGCCCTTATCTCACCACAAAAGTTCCAGTTTACACCATGTCATCAAGAGCTCTCGTTATTCTAAACTGTGACGATCGTGATGTAGCTTTCAGTCGTATTTATTATGAGAGTGAAATGAACTTCCCTCTTGTCAATATTTTCAGGTAAACTGTAGTTTTTCTGAGATACTGTTCTCGTTAATTTATTTTTTGGTTTATTACCCTTCATTTGTGTGGTTCACTTTGTGGGTTTTCTACTGTAAAAGAAGTCTTCTGCAGCAATCCCATGTACCTATAAAAATTGTCGCTCTGGTTGTTAGAAGGTGCATCGGCCTCATGACTTCCGTAGGTACTCGGCTTTCATCATGAGACATCATAATTATTCCTTCTACTCCCAGGGCAGAGTTTAAATGATTTGAATAATTTTTTCTGGTTAGCGTATTTTAGCGAGTTGGTTTTCTATGGGATGGGGTCGCTAACCCCATGCCCAACCCTCCTCCTTTACCCGGGCTTGGGACCGGCAGTAACCCCCGGAGGAGCTACAGAAGTTTTCTGCTCTAGACTAAATTAATGAATACCTGTATTATTTGTAGTGTGATGCATCAAGACTGACTCAAACAGAAATCCGACGTCGGAGTAGAAACTTCAAACAGGGCTTTCAAGTCTTTATCACTAAATACTAAGTATCCAGTTATAACAGAAAAATGTAGTTTAACTTGCCGAAAAATTTCAATACTTCAAGCGATCTTACTACGTTCAAAATACTTAGTCGACCTTTTACGGAAGGTCGTTCGTTCAGTGTTCTTTCGGCTTTACCGATGGTTGCAAAGCTGCCAGAGCTTGATAGTAATCCCACCCGATCCATGAATCTACTTACATGAAACGTACATTCAAAACTGATAAACACTAACCTATGACTGACTTGTGTAGATGTTTCAAGAACAAAACACAAGTTCTTTTACTTCTAATTAAACCTATCCGTTCTCTACTTGAAAGACGTCAAATTTAGCAAACATAGACGAAAGCTCCGTATATTGTGACATTCGCTGGCATCAACTACTCAGCATGTCAAGGTCATCTATACAGCAGTGTCTAATAGAACGTGTTCTTACTCACGTGTTGTTTTTAACTGTATCTTTGGATTGTAATTAAAGCTGCTGATATGATATTCGTTACATAGCGAAACACTAATTGCCTAGAACTTCATGCTCATCTGCTAACTTGATTATCGGTCATTAACTGGTTGGACTGTTCATTTTATTTTATTGATAAATTACTTTAGATCAATCCATCTGCAACACTTTATAGTTTGAGGCTTGGCCGTGCCAAAGGTGCAAAGACAATTTTAAATCCCGCACCTGCGCCAGTGGCTTCTGGAAATCCTGAGATTTTGGGGAATTACGAATTAATGGAAGATATTTTACCAAATTGTGATTTTGTGTGTCCAAATGAGTCCGAATTTTGTTCCATAACCGAGTCTGACTCTGAATCACTTTTCTCCAAAAATGAGATTGGCTCACTGAATATAGATGCTTTTATTCCTGGTCTTGTCTACTTACTTCAAAAGAAAATCAAATGCCCCATAGTAACTCTAGGGAGTAAAGGAGTTATTGCAATTTTATCGGAACAAGATATGGCAAATATATATGCCAAAGACGCTAGCGAAGTGGCTCGTATTACTCTTGAAAACCAAGAGAAGTTGGTAGTACACCTCTCAGCACCCAGTAACTTTGATGTTGTTGACACAACAGTAAGTTAACTGTTAGTATTGTTAGTGTTTCATTAGAAATGACAGTTAAGGATAAAGTTTTCTTGTAAAATACCAACCTTCGCAACTATTAACCATTATGCACATAAAAATATACAAACTAACTTAGATTAAATATAACATACAAATTAATAACCATAAGTCGTTATGACTTTGTTTGGATGCAAACCTTTTCTTAAAGACACTTAAAAATTCTATAGTCAGTTGACGTGGGTAGATTTCGCAAGCGAGCAGCTGAACACTGTAATGCTTAACGTAAACGTGCTCTGAGTTTGATTTCCAAAAACTCCCCAGGTAACTTACAGCCCATAATTAAGTAAGTATTTATATCTGGCTACACGATCACCAGAATTTATTATAATAACATTGTCTTCAACTCTATTGAATATTGTGGTTTACGGACAAAAGTGGTACATTTGAGCTATTCTCAGTCTGTCGCCAAGTCTACAACGCCTGAAATTATTATTAATTTATTAACAGCTTCAACAAACTTAACTAAATAAGTCGAAATTATAGTGAACACTAAAGCAACATCCCGAGATTGCTAAGTACTCAATTTAAGCGCTCCTAGTAAGATGTAGACAGGCTTGAAGCAAAATTATATATTTAGTGGGTATCGAATTTTGCGGAAATTTGATCAGATATCCTAAAAATTACTTGCCAAGAAAGGGAATCTCCAATTCTAGAAGCAATTTTCGAGTCTGTTGGAATTAGATTAAATTATCTTAGTCTAAACGACTCGATATTACTATTGTGATGAAAAATTCCTGTAACGTTCCAGCAAATGTCACAGTATGGGACTGCAAACAATCTAATGCATTTATTTTTGGAATGATCGTCGATGGGAGATTTAATAATTTCTGATTGTCGAGGTTATCGCGTCACAAAATCCGACAAAACTGATTCTGTCCAGTACGTTCTGCAATTTTGAAGGGTGCACCATCACTTGGACCCATGTTCAGAATATTTCGTCCTGCCACCTGGTGTGTAGTCACATTGCTGTTTTATCATACGTCTAAGATGAACAGGCCCCCCTTGGTGAAAATGAATCTTTGCATGTCTTTCCTCTTGAACAGCTTTTACTAACAGAAAAATAGGAGATTATGTTATTAAGCTTGCTATAAACAGTTGATCATGCCCTGTATATCGGTCGAAAGCAGATAACTAACCACTTTGTGAATCATTAGTAACAAACGCATGAAAATGCACCATAAACCTCTTTTAACGCTATTATTTACTATTCAACAGAATAAAGGGAGCGAAACTGCATTAATTCATATGATTATTTTAACTTAGTATGTAATCTTTTTTCGTAGGGAGCAGGAGACTGTTTTGTTGGCTCACTAGCTTACTTCGTCGCTTGTCACGAGGACATTACTCTAGCTGAACAAATAAGACGATCGGTTTGGGTTGCCGGCCAATCAATCCGTAAAAAAGGGACACAATCTAGTTACCTGAAACGTGATGAACTTCCTGATACACTCTTTGCATCAGAAACATTTCAGTGGCCATAGTGGCTAAAATCAGTAATATTTTTCCTATATTTTTTACTCTTTTTTTGGTATTTCCTATATCCCAACTTCATTAAAGAAATGTAAAAGGTAATTTACATTGAAATAAATATTATTCAGAATCACTATCACAACCGATTTTGCGTTTTTTCGACTGAGAGACCTTGAGTTCTGAAAACAGTGTAATAAGAAATCCGTTAACAGAGTTTTTTAAGAAAACCATTAAGGTTAATTTTAATCTAAGCACTATTGCTAGCACAAAAACGCGAGCAGATGACAAAACTGTGATGCTGAAAACAGTATAACATACATACGTTTAGCAGACATTTCAGTCCTCAAACTTATATGTGCCTACCAATATCTTTGCACACTGGTTATTCACGTTTTCACAACCTCGACCGTTCAGAATGAATATGTGGGATAAGATATTGTCAAGATGGCACCCGACTTAATCTATAGTTCGATCGTGGAACATCTTGTAAGTTGTGGTCACGTTGCTCTACCAAAAACCTCTTTTAGAACCATCCATACAGTCAAACAAATTGGATCGAAAGAAATACAAACAAAGAAACGTATTTATCACACAGGCTTTAGCAGTCCAAAAATATGAACCTAATCCATGTACAAAAGCAATATATTCTACTTCGTATCTTTCATGTTCAATAGTCAATGCCTACAAATCCATCATTTCATAATTATTAATAAGCTATTATTATAACAAAAAACTATCCTATTCTTTATGTTCATCTACTGAGCAATTACTTCTCAGCTATAAACTATCTCCATCGTAACATCTTTTCATTAGCTGTCGGACCATCATAGAACCTACTTTTGGTATTAGATATTTCCTAACGATTTGCGACTCAATATTACACACTATGTTCTAATAGCTTTAGTAAACGTCATCGTCAAAAATAAATTTTCCTTGCAAAATCGTCTTTAATTCTTTCCACAAATAACTAACTAAACCACTTGATTTCAAAAGCTTTAGTGTCTTTTGAGAAAGTGTAGTGTTAGTATTAGTTTAAATATAGTTTATAAAAACGCTGTAAAATGAAATTCATTTTCTAACTTACTCTACATTAGCTTAGAAAGTTAGGCAGCATTAATGTTCACACGCTAAAACTGGCATTGTATTCAAACCAGTATGGGATTATCAATTTGTAATTACATTTCATAGAGCATACTGCACACCTGCATATTCTCAACTAAATATATAGCAGCCCATTCAACATCATGTATATCTCAACACAAACGAGTTACGATTTTGTGCTTATCGAAGATGTATTCGTGTGAACTAAATAGAAACCAAAATAACTATTGATGACAATACCAATATATGTGAGCTTAACGATTCGCAACCTCATCTTACCATATATCATTGATTTCCTGAAATCGCTTCACAAATATGTTGGAGATCTCAAACCTTGTTGAATAGGATAAAAGCGTATTGTGTTTCTCCAGGATCCGAATAAAAGATATAATACTGGCCATTCCCAAAAATCTTACCAAGCTAGTGTGGTGAACCAGCGCGATTCACTGTACACGGATCTACAGACTTTTTGAGAGTTAATAAAAGAATCAACGCGTTCGAAAAAACGCTTATACTCAGACCACGTTTTGAGTATTTATTAAATACAGGAGAGCTTAATCAAAAAGACCGAGCTCAATTCGAGAATGAAAGTGTTATGGACATGTTTGGACCAAACAGTTAATCCAACAGATAGACGTTTATACTAGGGTAGCCTGGCGCGATTTGCAGTTCTCTGCAAAAGCCAGCAGCGTGATCTCTTTGGAAACTATAATAAATGATCAAGAAAGACCAATGAATCTCCTACTAAATTAATAAATCATTGAGAACTCATTTTGAAAGGCTCCGAACACGAGAGGCGAAGGGAACTTTAATAAAACTAGGAAGTTTACGAGATGATCAAGAGTAGTCGTAGATAATAAAAGCAAAGAAGATGGAGTAGCAGCGATGACAGGTAAGAACAGACAACTCTCCAGACTGGTTAAAAGTTAGCTTTTAGTTAGCCTTGATCAATCGTCAAGGTGATTGAAATACTTTGGAGAACAGTTCAGCTGGCATCAAGCTGATATTTAGAAGCCTACCACTTATCAATGGGATCTCAATTAAGTGTAAATACCCATAACTAAATAAAAGCAGTAAAGTATATGGTTTTGATGGATTACACCTAATTCTCCCAAATGGTTGTTTGAAATTACCAACAGAACTAAGATAATGATCAGTCTGAGGGCTGGACATACTGTCATCTGGTCTGTTTTAAGTGCTGATGGTGCTATTGGGAAGGGACAGCAGTATTGTTACAGCTTTAAAGAGAAGTTCTGCGTTCCTGATCTTGTCCGTTTCCTTCTTTACTGTGCTAACATCAGGTAGTGTTTCGGTTTGAATTGATACACAATTGTGTCGAGTTCTACGTCGACAACTGATTAAATAAATCTATATTAACTCCAGAGAAACTTGTTTGGAAATGTATCCTTTCAAAAAGGTAAATTCGGTATTTATCAAGGTAAAAGTTAATACACGACACCTGGATAAGTTATGCGCTTTAAGCTTACTTCGACCAATAGTTTTCTTATCACGTTTACGTTCAGCGAACCAGTCTACTCTCCTTTCCACACATGAGAGCGGTGCCGTTCCAGATTTCACACAAGTAACTAACTCCTCAGCCTTGGATAGTTGACTTTGGGCTGCCCTTAACTCTCGCTCCTCAGCTTCTGCAGCCAAGATTTTTCCAATTATAGGTTCCAAGCGGGTAATTTTGGACTGGTAAGTAGCAATAACATCTAGAAAATAAACGCAAAAAACATTACACAGTTTAACTCCTCGAAACATTTGTAGATGAAAAACTAAAATTAATAAATTATGAATCTAAAAATTTTAAAACATATAGGCATTTTCTTCAAGGTATATCCAAAAGTACTATGTTCTAAAGTTGTGTTAAGAGTACATATGAAACAGGTTAGAGACAACTTTGTGCTGTATAATCCCTAGTATCTTTATTTGACGATTATCAGAACGATGTAGACGTGCAAGTGCTAAACGTCACATTAGATCTTTCTATTCGTATATTTTTCTTGACTTTTACATTAAAGCAGACGGATACATTATTTTCGATGGCACTCAGCAAGTAATTAATTAGTCAAGAATAAGAAAAAACTATTTAATAATCCCTAATTTGAAGCTTACTTTGCAATTTACAAAATGCATACTTCCCATAAGTGACTAGTTTCATCTTCCTTCCGTGAGGCGCTATCTTAAATCAGACTGGTTCACTCAAGGCTGTCAATGAAGTACACTCTTACCGTTGAAATAATTTAATCTCAATTGCGAAAACGATTACAGATACATTTTGTCTTTTAGATTTTATTTACTCGATCCACAATTTGTGCAAAACCATCCACTCAAATTTTGATCACGATTTATAACCGTAAATTCTACTAACCATGTATGATTATTATTATTATTATTATTAATGGCTTTATTCTATATTATTAGCAGACTGTAAACATGGTTATCAAAACTTCAGTCACGCGACCAAGTTACTCAAGTAATGATTTAGAGGCTGGTTGTTTTAGTTTTTTCTATTCATATTCATGTCGAAAGTTGTGCAACTTCTACTACTGAATAGAACTTTTATAACTACTGACTAAAACTAACCAAACTGTAGTCGGTCAGTCAGTTATAAACGACGTAGAACCTGGAACATATGCGCAACTGTTCAAATTACCACACTACATAAGCACAACCAGGTAAATTGTCAAGATGAATATCAAAGTAGCAGTGATATCAGTGACAGAAAGAGAATATGATTCGATAAGAATGAATGAATACACAGAATAAAAGGTATGAAATAATTTTCGAACACGGAACCAAAGAACGATAAAAAAAATGAACCCATCTAGACTATGGCAGCTGATTCTGAGACATTATGTTAGTTAAATATGTTTATTAATCATGGGAGAGCGGTTATTAAAACTAACCTGACGCTATAACTCTTGCTTTAACTGGATAAGGTGCTTGTTTCATTATTTCCTTCATCACTTTCCGATCATCCTCACCCACTAAAGACACCGCTCTTCAAATGAAATTATCAATCAAAGTTGATTAAAAATGACAATGTAACCAAAACAATTATTTATTTTTTTTTTTATTATTTATTATTATTAGCTTTATTCAATATTATATTATTTGGTACAAAATCGAATTCTCAGCATAAAGTATTTCAACATGTTTACGTTTCTTATTTCTTCGTTGCTCCTGATGATAAACATTCAGTGATCGCCAGTTGGATGTCAGCAGTTCAGTCAATCGACATATGAATAATGTATATTCTTTTTGCTGCATGTTCCCAGCAAACACGACATCTCTTATTAGGCCTTTTGTAACCTTTATAGCGAAAGGTTGTACAGTTTTCAGAAACGCACCGGAATAGGTTATGTGCTTAATAGCCATAATGATGTATTAAAACAAACAATATTAGATAACTTGTTGAAATATATAGATGACGGGAAACAGGTAGCCCAGATGTTTAAGCAGGCCGCCCAACTCGCAGAATTTAGAAATCTTGTACTAACTAGTAATAGTGATTAAGCTTAAAAGGAACATATTCCATATTTACACAGAAACCTTGCAACAAATAAAACAAACTAGACACTTTCCACCTCAATCCTAATTCAGAATTGATCTTTATTTTAGTAGCTTCTTTTACTTAGAAATCTTCGTCTTAATCGCTTGATTTTTGTACATAAGATGGTGAGTAGTTTTCATATAAACAACAGTAGTATATAGCAATTATATACTTTGAACTCTCAATGCAATCAAATCTTAATTATAAGTTTTGTAAGGATCAGATAAGTTTTAAAATAACAAAGATTAATAAATTCGACGAGAGTTTGTTTATTCATTGAAAAAAAACGACACAACATCTATTGATATAGATGAGTAACACGGTATGAATTGTTGAGAGATGGAACTAAACTAAATGGAATATAGTTCGATAAAAGCTGAAGTTCTAACCGTTTGCAAGTTGATTTGATTTTTATATTGGTATTTCTTTTTTCAGTTATTATCATATTCAGAATCAGTTGTGATAGTTTACAAGTTTTGATGTAAAGAATAATTACCTGGTATAAATGTTTACTCTGTGCCCCTAGTAAGAGTAAGCAAAAACTGACTGGATTGTTCATTTACTAAAATAACTAAACAATTACTCAACAAGCTATAATACGTGCCATAAGAAATACATCGCTGAGTTATAAGAACATAGCTTCCTATCAACGTCCAAAAAGAGGGCATATAACTAAGTGATTTTCTGGTGTTTAACTGTCGTTGCCCAACAGTAAACAGAAACGTAGAAAAAAACATAACAAATACTGGGAAAGCAAAAGCCTATAAACAGGAACTCACCGACCGACATTCATAATTCTAGCGGTACGACCAACTCTGTGTACATACTGCTTCATAGTTTGAGGTAAAGTATAATTGATAACCTTAAAATTTAAAAATCTTTGTTGTTAAGTTAATAGCAACACTAGGACTTTTATTATGGTAGCTAACAAAACAATCATAAGAAGTAAGATCTTCCAAACAGTAATCAACTTGTGAATACATCAGAAATGATTCTTTAATCAATGATATTTCTATGTAATTTTCCTACGGATTCACTGAACAACTCAATTTTTAGTTCGAAAATAACTAAAATGGATACCACGAGGACCATACACTAAGTGTACCCAATCCACACACAAAATTTATGTATATATATATATATATATACTTCGCTAAATTCCTAGCTTTGATTTGATGGCAAAAAAAAGATTCTTACCAAATCTATTGTCCTAATAACACTAATGTGCGCATAGCCAGCAGGCAATTAGTGTACACAATATTACAAAAATGTTTTTCTAACATTTTCATGTACGAAGATAAGAAACAACAAATGAAACTGGGTATCATTAGAATTAAAAATGTTTCGTGCTACATTTACTACAAGTAAAATTCTGATAGTACATAAACATAAGTAATTACCGATTCACGTTTGTATAACTAGTTTTATACCTCACACAACCCCAAAATAATAGTGATTATCATGTATGCCTACTAATACTAAACACATATTATACATAGGTCAATTGTTAAGACAATCTATATCTACACGTAACCTGTTAGTCATAGAAAACGTAGGTCGTGATACATGTGTATCAGCACACCATGAAACACTTCACATCAGAAAATAAAGGGGGGATTAACCAGTCGAAAACTGAAAGGATGAGACTGATATATATTCTAGTCCAAAAATGACACTAATAAGCTGGTCATTGCATCAAGCATCAATGTAGTCTCAATTACTCTTTGAAGAAACTGAGGGCCAAAAATTAACCCAAAGTTGTTACCACTTATTTTTGAGAATCTGTAGCATTTTGTACTGTTACACGCCTGCATGGATTATTCTAGCTTTTGGACGAATAAACTGATCTAATCTTTCCAAGTAACTGTGCACACATATGTTTGACCAAGTCGGTTACTCACGTTGAACCTTGATCCTGTTTTAAAAATGTGTGTATGCTAGTACGTATGTATCTGTACAATTTTATTTCTTCTATGTTTATAAATTTTGAGTCATGCTTGGTAAAATCGAGTTGTCTGAGAAGCCTTCTTCCATGTTGCACATTTCACTGCCTTTCTGCGTACATAAACACCTGCAATAAACTCTTCCAACTCAAACCGTATTTCACTTTTATTATCACGGTTGTCCAACGGGGTTGGTTTAAGTATAATATACGAAATAAGACGGATGATTATTTTATGGTTCACTTATCGTCGTTTATTATGGAATCAGACTTCGGGCACTATAAATCCCTACAAATACAAAGTAACATGACATATATTCAGTCTAGCTTCTTGCTGAGTCTTACAATTGCCAAGTTAATCAAATAAATATCAAAAGTGAAGCTCAATGAGTATACGGTAAAGTATGTTTTTTACAGATTCAGACAAATCTGAAGTAATTAGATATGATCAAACGATGGAAATATTTATAACGTTTGACAAAACGTGATTGACTAAAGGTTAGTTTGTTAGAAATAACACAGACAGTGATTTTCGGCAAATAACAAACATCAGAGTTGTACTCTTGTAAATATTATCATCAGGAAAACTAATTAGCCCATCACTTGAATAAGGAGAGTGCTGCAATGAGGTAGTTTTTGATAGACACTCAGTGGGTTGGTTAAGCTGAAATGTTGGCGTTTTGTACAACCCAACAACCTTGCTGTTTACTTTAAAAATATCAAAGTACTTGATATACAGTATAACAACTGAAACAACAAAGGCGCAATTGAAACTTACTGTCTGTACATTGGGAATATCCAAACCTCTTGATGCTAAGTCAGTTGCCAAAAGAATATCAACAGGGCGTATATCAGGATTATTCATTTCAGTAAGCTGGTCAGTCGCGCTTTTATTTTTACATTCATCACTTGTACCAACATACGAGAAACGCTTCAAAGCCTCCAACCTCTGTGCTTGAGTCATATTGCCATGTAACTCAGTACATGAAAGACCAAGCAAACCTAACATAATATGCATTTTGTGACAATCCTTCTTAGTTGGTAGGAAAACTATGGTCCGTTTACGAAAATGACGCATCAGTAAGGCTACGACGATCGCTCGTCGATCATCCTCTCTGTGTGGACGGATGCGAACAAATTCTTGATGTAAGCATTGGGCTACAGCAGTTGCTTGATTGAGGAATACTTGTACTGGGTCGCGAAGCGAAAGTACAGCAAGTTCTTTAACCTGATCCATAAAATAATGATACAAAAAATGATATAAACTATCCACACAGTAGAAAAATCACGAAAAGTACTATATATATCAGAATAATTATACGCATGTAGAATTACCACATAGCCAATTGAGTAAAGTCCCAGAAAATAAAATAAAAACCAGTTTATTTACACATATACGCCTAAAAAAAACAGCATTATACGCATAGTAGTAAGAAATACATCAAAACTCCACAGTGACTATAACCATTTACCGAGCTAGAAATAAATATTGGAACCTATGCACATCCACTAAGTACATAGTTGTAAAGTAATACAAAGAGGACTGAGGTACATTATACTGATCTTTTGACAAACAGACTGAACTATCACCTGTGCCATAAATTATGGAAGTTGACAAAATCTAAATATACTTTCACAGCACCCGACTGAGTGCACCTGACAAAACTTCCAGATGTGACAATGTCAACGCGTCTAACTGCTACACTCTTCATGGTCAGATGGCATCGACGCGAACCAGGAGAGAAATTCCCTACAAAAGTTTGGTATTACTACTTATGTTACTTAGATTCCGTTATTTCAACAACTGCACCAAATGAAACAATGGGTGCGCTAAATTATCTTACCAGGAATTAATAATTATTCTATAATCTAACAAAAACAATACATGAGATTCACTTAAGGTATCACTAATCAAAAATTTATTTTATTTTTTGTTTTATTTAAACACAAACATTGGTACAAAGAGGGAACCAAATACATATGCGCCAAACGAAACAATCAATTTGTGTGAGGGCTGATATACTGGCTGGGCGCCCAAATCAAAGCGAAATTGACGAAGCCAAGATGACTTAATGACCAGTCGTTTACAAAGTATGGATCATGAGATAACTATTAATAATCCCCCACATAGGTTTAGTCCATTTGTCGCACGAGCACCAAAACATCTTTTTTTTCAGAAATTTTGCAAATGTGCTTGGTAAATTATCACACAAGCGACGAAACCTAGACATGATATCAGTCCATGAAAACAAAGACTATTGAAATAAGCCATGCAGGTAGGTAGGTGCAGACTACCTGATTAAGATCTGCATGAATATCGTAACCAATAGTAAGACACTCTGAATGGCATGGTTCAGAACCATTTGCAGTGGTGCAAGTGCACTCACTCTTTGTCTTCCCTTAGATCCCAAGTTTCTAAACCCCTCATAATGTCTTTCCTGACCGTTGCTGCTACCTTGACGTGGTGGTCGGGCTTGCCTATCGTGATGATCCAATCGAGCTATGCTGGCTGGAACAATCGTTCCTCGAGGTCCTACCATGCCAGACAGGTCGGTTGAAGAGCGGTGAGACTAAAAGCAGCAAACCAAAGGTCCGAAGGCGAAGTCGTACTGCTGACTGTACAGAGGTGTGAAAGCAGTAAGGTGTTTCCTTCAGACAACCAGCATGACAGCGATGCTGCCTTCCCACAAGGAGGGGTGGGGTTAGAAAAGGTCGACCCTAAAAATGCACACCTCGCCTTATCCCACGGATATCCGTCTCCGGCGGTAAGGTTTTTTTTGAAGAACGGAGCTAACACAAAAACTACCCACAAAAAGGTCGTGTGTGACCGACCTCAAGCAGTTGTCCCTTGGGCACTGCGGTCACGCTCTCAGGTCATTAAGACCACTTCTAACCCAATTTCCTTTTCAGGTACCTCTAGAAGAATCCTTCCACGGTGTGGGCAACCGGGAAGTGATAACTGCCCTCATACCTCTAACAACACTCAAGACCACTGTATTCATAATCAATCTCCTTCTTCAATTCCTACTACCTTGACTTTCAACACAAAACTTCCTCTCTCGGTTTCCTCCTCAAGTGTCACCATGGCCAACGATTCTAGTGCGCGAAACGTTGTCCCAGGTCTACTAAAACCTCGCTTCAAACTACACATTGGGGCCTTCAACGTACGTACTTTAAGCCAAATCGGTCAACAGGCCTCCTTAGTTAAAACCCTATAATCTCGTACCATTGGTGTATGCTGTGTCTCCGAAACACGCATACAGGATCCCAGTGTGGTCATTCACTTGACCTCACCTCGCCAAAATGGACAGCCAACGAAATACACCCTCCGTGTATCTGGCGACCCGTTGGCTAGTTCTCGCGGACTTGCAGGTGTAGGCATAGCACTAAGTACAAGGGCAGAACAGACACTACTAGAATGGATCACCTTTAACAGTCGCCTGTGTGCTGTCCGGCTGAATGGCTCCGTAAGAACTCGGAAGGATAGGGACACACGTCGTTGCCTTTTCGTCGTTTCTGCCTACGCTCCCACCGACTGCAGCCATGATGAAGTGAAAGATGACCTTTACAGAAAGCTCTCTGAGCTTCTTCAGAAAGCTAAGCGCTCAGACATAGTACTCATAGCGAGTGACTTTAATGCCCAGGTAGGCAGCTTACATCAAACAGAAAGACATTTAGGTGGGTGTTTTAGTATTCCGGCTCAACGAACCGATAATGGTGATCGTCTGTTGCAACTATGCTCAGACAATCGTTTATTTTTAGCAAGCACTAATTTTAAACATAAGGAGAGACATCGTCTAACATGGCGACCACCTGCATTAAACCAACGATGGACTCAAATCGATCATATTGTCATCAGTCATCGTTGGAGAGGCTCAATAGAAGATTGTCGCTCGTATTGGAATACTTGTTTAGACTCTGATCACGCTTTAATACGAGCGCGCATTTGTCTGCGCCTCAATGGACGCAGGAAAAGTACACTAAGAAGACCCATTAGGATTGAACTGGAGGACGAGAAAGCCAAATGCGAATTCCAGAAACAACTGAGTTCACATCTAGGCAGTTCTGTAAACAAGATTGACACAGATGCTGCTTGGAAAGACATACGAACAGCTGTGGAAACAGCAGTTACATCTATTAGTCATTTAAACCATAGGGCTCCAAAAAACCAGTGGATTTCTTCTAAGTCTATTTCACTGATGGATTCGCGTAAACTCATCCCATCAGGCTCTGAACATGACGAAGAGCGTAAACAAATTAGATCCAGGTTAACTAAAAAACTAAGGAACGATCGTGAGCAGTGGTGGGCAACGAAAGCAAAAGAGATGGAAAAGGCAGCGGCTGTAGGGAACACCAGGCAACTATTCAGACTAATAAAAGAAACCGGAATTAAGAAGTCAAGTGTAAGTGAGACAATCTCCGAAAAAGACGGAACCCTTATCTGCTCTCAACCCAAACGTTTAGAACGATGGGCGGAACACTTTAAGGAGCAGTTTAGCTGGCCTTCAGCTACTGCACAACTACCCACTATTCCTAGAAAACCTGAATGGAACATTGAAGTAGGCCCCCCGACCCTACTTGAAGTTCAAAAGGCTATAGGTAATCTGGAACGAGGAAGAGCAGCTGGTCCTGATGGATTGGCTCCAGAGGTCTTTAAATATGGTGGTCCGATTTTAGCGATTAGGTTGACTAATATTCTGGCTAAAATCTGGGAGACGGATGTAATCACATCCGACTGGTCACAATCTCTGATTGTCCCAATATATAAAAAGGGATCAAAATCATCCTGCGATAACCATAGAGGGATTAGTCTGACTAACATAGCATCTAAAATACTAGCCTCAATAATTATCGGGCGCCTAACTAAGACTCGTGAACTGCAAACACGAGAAAATCAGGCTGGCTTCAGACCTAGTCGTGGCTGTATCGACCACATATTCACCATTCGTCAAGTTTTAGAGCACAGACACGCTTGTCGGCGTCCGACAATGATAGTTTTTCTTGACTTGAAAGCAGCATTTGACTCTGTAGACCGAGAGGTTCTGTGGCAGTGTCTGTCATTGAAAGGTGTACCTGAGAAGTACATAAACCTTGTGAAGGCTCTTTACTCGAACACTACCAGTCGAGTGAGAGCTTATGGAGAACTGTCATATGATTTTACAACCTCATGTGGTGTCCGTCAAGGCTGTCCACTATCCCCATTTTTGTTTAACTTCATTATAGACCTGTTGCTGGAAATAACACTCTCTGCTACTGAATTTACAGGAATTGATCTCCTACCAGGGGGACCACTAAGCGACTTAGAATACGCAGATGACATAGTCCTGTTTGGTGAAGACGCTGGCAAAATGCAGAGTCTTCTGTTGGAACTCAGTAATAATGCCAGGATGTTTGGGATGCGATTCTCCCCATCCAAATGTAAATTGTTACTCCAGGACTGGCCTGCATCAACACCTGAACTAAGGATAGGGAGTGAAGTAGTCGAACGCATCGACAACTTCACTTATCTTGGAAGTCTGATCAGCCCTAATGGGTTGGTGTCTGACGAAATCTCAGCACGGATTCGAAAAGCTCGTTTGGCTTTTGCCAACTTACGTCACCTATGGCGAAGACGAGATATCCGTCTATCAATTAAAGGACGAGTATACTGCGCATCAGTTCGCTCTGTTCTACTTTATGGTTGTGAAACATGGCCATTAAGAGTAGAAGATACTCGTAGGTTACTAGTATTTGACCACAGATGCCTTAGAAATATTGCTCGCATCTGCTGGGATCACCGGGTAAGTAATAGTGAGGTTAGACGCAGGGTATTAGGGAACGATGGTAAATCAGTTGTTGAGGTGATGAATCTTCATCGACTGAGATGGTTGGGCCATGTGTTACGTATGCCTGAACACCGATTACCACGACGCGCTTGGATGACTAGTGTAGGGGATTGTTGGAAGAGAGTTAGGGGCGGCCAAACCAAAACATGGCATCAGTGTTTGAAGTCACTAACTTCTAGTCTGAGCCATGTTGGCAGATGCAGACTACCTGGTTGGGGTCCGCGTGACTATCGTAACCAATGGTTGGAGACTCTAGGTGACATGGCTCAGAATCGATCACAATGGCGTAGGTGTATACACTCTTTATCTTCCTTTAAACCTTGAAACTAAAATTGCTTCATATCTCTCTTCCTTCCTGTACTATATCCTTATATACAACCTATAATTTATATACTACTACCACCACTAAATTAATTACTTCTATGAACCCGGTGTTCATCTTGTTGTGCTAACGAGGTATGGCAACTTGGACCGATGCATAAATGTGCCTGGTCCTACGTTGTAGCTGACTGACTGACTGACTGACTCATAATGTCTTTACATTAATAATAATAATAATAATAATAATAATAATAATAATAATAATAATAATAATAATAATAATGATAATAATAATATGTATTAATAATAATAAGATTTTCGCAGATCGCATCTTCGATATCTTATCTTTCCTACTAGCATTAATATTATTACTACCTCTACTACTCTGGGACGCCCTGACAATTTTATCTCACTGTGCTAATAGGAGGTGGCAACCTGAACCGATGTATACATGTGCCAGTTTCCAAATTCAGTTTTACAGACTAAGCTAAATAGGGGAAAGACTAATTTTCGAGCTCTAAAGTTGAAATTCGTGGAAAAACAACCCAAATTTTACCACAAAAGTAATTCGACAACTTACATTTTCCGTCATTGTAGCAGAAAACAGCAAGGTCTGTCGTTTTGTGCTGCAGAATTTAATAATTTCTCCTATTTGCTCTGCAAAGTATTCGTCTAAAAGTCTTACAAAAAAACAATAAATACGATACCTACTTGTCAGCCTCGTCCAATACAAGGTATTCGATGTGTTGTAAGTTAAAACTGGGAGCATTTGAGAGGTGATCGATTAGACGTCCCGGTGTTGCAACTACCAAATCGGGATTCAATCTCAAGGAAGCCTCCTGTGAGTGTAAATCAAGTCCTCCTATTTATTCAAAAATATGTTTGACAATAGAGTAACTCACCAGCTGCCAACTGGATTCTGAGCTTTGGACAATATTTAACTAGTTTTTCGGCGACGTTGAAAATCTGCACAGCTAACTCTCTAGTCGGACTGATCACAAGGGCTCGAGTAACTGCATGATTAAAATCAGTTGGCTTTTTTGCTAGTCTCTCCAAAATAGGTAGCAAAAACGCCAACGTCTTACCGGACCCTGTCCTGGCACAAGCACATATGTCACGGTGAAGTAACGCGACGGGGATGCATGCGCACTGGATAGGAGTTGGTTTGTCTAAGGACATTTCAGTAAGTGACTAATGCTGAGAACAATTTATTCTGCGCTTACTTTAAGTAATGGTTTAGCTAAACTGAGTTCTATAAATGAAGACACCTGCTTGTATTTTGTAACAGCATGAGCAAAATTAAATTTTTCTGACTTTTAACAAATGGTAAACAAAGACACACGTTTACCTCATCCTTTTTCTTGCGGACACGATTATTTTTATCTCTAACGACGTCTATAATCTATTAGTTAAAATGACAACACAATTACCTGTAAACTGAGTAGTGGAACTTTCATCTTCTAAAACTCCTGGTGGAACAGCATCACTGCAAACCTCAACACTTTCGTCGGAGCATATGTCTTTGCGGTAGGTCTCTATTAAGGTATCTACTAATCTATTAATTGATATATGGGTGGATGATATATTTTGAGCATCCACAATTGGTGCGATATCCTAGAATACCATTTGATTGGCGAAAAATGAAAGGAACTTACTGGCGTATCGAATGAGAAATTCGGATTAAATATCATATTTAACAGAAATAGGATCTACAAGTGACTGCTGTTGAAAACCTGTAAAGATAAAGAAAACTCTACAGTACTGATTCAAAGTTCAGAACTGATTGTAAATGCTCATGTGAGATTCATTTACTGGGTTTGTAACAGAAATGATATGACAATAACTTAAGCTATTACTTGACAATATATATGGAAACCGTTCTACCGTCTTATATACTAAGCAAAATGATTGAATGAGGACTACATTTGAAACTAAACGGAGATACTACGTCAAACCGAAATACTGACCTCACAATTACTTCATAGTGGGATTGCCAGATAATTTCAAGGATAACAGTTGGGAATTACTAGCTAATCTGGCTAGTGATTTTATTTCGTTTACTATAACTTATCAACCCTTTGAACCGACATGTTGGCTAAATATTTAGGAGTTATATCAGAGCTAGTGAAATGATTGTCGATGAAATCTAAAAATACATTTAAAAAGGCTTATCTGGAACTTGTAAATTTGCAAAACTTATGAAACCGCAGTATCCAACTATCAGTTGAATGAGGGGCATCATGCGCATCACTTTGACTTGTGATATTATACAACCATACGGCACAATCATTAAAGGTGAAATATGACAAAACCGCAGATGATCACATACTTATCATTAAAGTACTGCTGGTGTCCGGTCAAACTACTAGATAGATAAAATTGGTGCTAGACCTAGTCCTAAATAAGCACTCGAACTATTCCAAGACAAAATCTCTGGTAGCAAAAAGCTTTACATGGCATTCCAATACTAAGTGAACTACCAATCTTTACTTAACTTTTCCAATCAACTAACGCTTTCGAACATTATCTCATTATATGGTGATACACGAACCACCCAGCTAAATATCAGTGTTAGGAAATGATACAAATACTTTGAACTTTCGAAATGTAATTTTTCTTCAAGACGGAGAGGCAAACGTACTTGCACGCACCTTCTAAAATAGACAGTTCCAAATGGCTGAAATCATATATGTGTGGTTGTTTGAGTGCTAGGGGTGACGTGGCAGGTGAAATAATTCTATGTATACCTAAGACCAAAGAGGCTTATAAAACTTTGCTAAACATGAAGAGGTGCAGTCCCATGGTAACCGGTGACCAACAATTGGTTCATACGCCATTTGTTCCCTCAGGATACTGGAGCCCATGGGCGCCATTGGTTTGGAATCAGGGTTTTCCAACTTCCCTAAGTGGACTTTCTGTGCCCACCAATCCGGTTAAAGTACTGGACATTCGCCCTTTGTCCTCTCAATTTTGTAAACACCCCTGCCACGAGAAGGCAGTGAGTAGGACCTTCCTGGCAGAGGCTGTATACGCGTGGCTGTGTGAGAGCATTTCGAGAGAGTGGGCAGGTACTCCCCACTCTCGGCCGTACCAGGGCATCTGGGGGCTGATAACATTAATGAGTACCTGGTTGATGAGCCACATTAATTATTTTTATGTTTCAATGACTGTTTACCTAATGTAATATGTCTGTTCTGTTTGAGAACTTAGTAACTTGAAGGTATGAGGGTTCAAAGCCATAAGTTTGTTTGACAAACCTCTAGACATTTTAATTATATCATATAATAAAATCCCAATATCTGCTTTATTACCCCCCCACCCATAGTTTTGATAGTCTCAATGAAATAATTTTGTTTTAAAGTACCTGAATTTCACACACGTCACGTCTGCACGCTTCTACATAGAATTCTGACCATGTATATGCATACTTGGCAGACGTTTTTTACTAACCACATATAACTATAGCCACACCTGGAAACGTGTTTGACAACTAGATTATGAAAATTTGAGTAATCGACTAGAATTTCACACCACTGTGGGCTTGGTTATATGCGCAGAAATTATTTTCTACAAGCACCAAGAAGCGGTGATTTCGCTATCAATAATACCTGACATCAATCAGTGGTTGAGGGTTAAAACACGCTTTAGTAGTGTGAACAGCCTTAACAAAACGTGTTTCCTATGATCAAATTAGTGAAATCACACTCAGTAACTAAATTACATGCAATAGACGCACCGAAAAGCAGACAAACATAAGTTTATCTGCTTCATATCGCGTAGTATGATTATACAGAACTGCTAAACGGTAGTTTCCGTAAATTACTGCTTACGAGTCTTTAATACCACATTATACTTAAGTATGATACATACCATATGACGTACATAAATCGGACCAAACAATTAAGCTCAGATTTAGTTTCATAAACTTTACCAATCTCCTGATTTTGAGGAAAATTTCACCAATTTAGAGAAAGCTCCACAGAAACGTTTTGAAGCAGTGAGATTAAAAACCTAAAAAGTTTTCCGTGTTCTGAGGGAAACTAGAAATTTTTTGACGGCTTCAGGGTAAACCTCGAAAGTCCCGAAGATTAGATGACCCGATTTGCTCAGATACATTCGGAGAACCGTCCCATTAAAATTCTGGGACGGAAATACAATACTACGCTTACGAAAATTATATTGAAATTACGAATCAGTCAAGTACAATATGAGCTATTACGAAAGTCTGGAGAAAACTGAATTGCTAAACCAATTATAATTAGGTTCCGAAACATTGAGGCTTAATAATATGAACTTTAGAAACTCAACGATTTTTGCTACATACAGAGGTCATTATTGCCGTGCAGAGAATAATATAAAGGAGTATAACTTATGGATTATTACTTATGAGACAAACCAGATCCAGGTGACGGTAGCGCAAGGAACGGATTGCCGCGGCACAATAATTAATAACTTGACCCGTAATAAGGTACTTTGTCACATTATTTACTACTTGTATTTGTGATTGTTCTTAGAGGTCAGTAAAAAGATGCTGGGAACCTACAAAATTTTTATTTTTTTTGCTATATAATCACGAATAGTAATTTGATAAATTTTATAACTAGAAGTATTTGTGATTAGTTCATTGACATTCGCTTTGTTGCCTAGTGGGCTATGAAGAAGCAACTTGGCAAATCAGTTAAAGAAGTCATATTTCACAGAATAACGTCCCGTAAATCAATGAAACTGGATTAAACCACCTAATCCAGGTTTCATAACAGATTCCGACTCACCTCAGCGTGTCAAAAGGAGAAACTATCGATTTAATAGCAGGGCTTTGCGGCCTCTCCTACAAAAAGCAATAAAACAATGAGGACATTTTTAATCTCACCAGGAAGAAAAATGGCGTCATGCTGATATCAGAATAGAGTTGTGCCGATTGTTAAATTTTATTGAGATCACGAAGCGATCAAAAGTGATCGAACATTGATCAATTATGTTTTTGCTATGCATCCTAAACAGTGACGCCACGTTTACGATTTCAATAATTTTCGTTAGTTGAGTAACTAGATATCCATGCAGCCACGATAAAATATCCAGAAACATGATTGAATGAAGTCGAGGCGAAACATTTTGTGGTGTTTGTATTAACCAACGATTTCTTTGTACTTGATGACTACTTGATTTCGAACATCAAATACATTACATTTGTTCGTGCTTATCTAGCACTTCTTGATTGAATTGCCTTATTTCTGGGATTCCTAGTTTATAATATAATTCAAATACTCCTCATATTCACAAACAATTTTGTTTGTAAACACTTGGTTCTATTTCGCCTTATTTGATTTATTTAGGGAATTCTTAGTTCCTATAATATTTCAAATACTTTTAATTATCTTATCGAGATGGAACCTGTGGTGGAGCGGTTGGACATACATTCAAACTTTGATGTGGATTATATGGAAAGTTTCGAAAGCTGGTCTATGACTAAGGAAAATGTTGAGGATGGCAATATTGTGCATCATTTCCTTACACTCATCGCAACAGAAGCATATAGCTTAATAAAAGCTTCGTCATTTCCATACATGCCGATTTTACTCCCTCATGCAACTCTCAAGCAACTACTACTGTACCATGTAAAGTATACAAATTTCGAAGGCGGTAAAGGAAAAGAATCAGTGAAATGATTCGCCAGGACATCAGGGATTCCATTACTTTACTACGTGGTTGCAGTTCAATACGTAATCAAGGTTATTCCGACAACAATTCACTAAATTGTGAAACAGTTCACGAAGGTGAGCACAAGTTTGTTAAATGCTTGTTCTGTGGCAAGTTTCCCTCAGGTAAATCATGTGTATTTCGTAGTGCTAAATGTTTTAATTTTGTTAAAATTGAACGTATTCGGGTATTTTGTTAAACTACTGTTCATTCCGATGCAATTTATGCCGAAGTTTGTAATTTCGATCCTATTAAATTAAATGTTTCAAATGAATCATACTCTGATCAGATTCATGATATTATTTTACCAAATTCGCGTTGTTCCCATGATTCATGTATTTATAACGAAACTATTTACAAATATGTGGAAGATATATCGAGTGCGCCAAATCGTGATCAGAACTCTGACTTTATCAGATATTGTTTGTTCTGATGATTCATTTATTTCTAGTAAAGTTTTAAGTGGATGTGAGGAATAAGTTGTAGATGAGTTAAAATCTGATTACAGCTCTCATGGTGTCACATCAGATGTTATTTGTTCTCACAGTGGATTTATCTCTGTGATATCCCTAACGAACATAACAAATATGTTGATATACGGATGAGTCGAATCCTAGTCGTATTTCTGATGTTATTTTATCAGATGTTGGATATTTTCAAAACCAATGTGTGTAGAGTAGAATCCGTAGTCAGTCGCATGATGAATCAGAGGGTATAGCAAGTTTTCCCGAAGCAATCTGAGAACTAGTTTGCCCGGATATGAACTTCGCAAGGGCCAAAAATCCTAATCGAGTCCAAGATTATCCTAAAGGATCTGCGGCAGATGTATATTTTCCATTTGATTGTTTAGCAGGTGAATCAAGCCTAGATAAATCACATGTGATAATTAAACATATCAACGCATACTTATCTGTGTATTCTAGTATGAATAAGAAAAGGAATCTGTATCATATTTTTTATGCAAGTCGAAGTCACATGATTGAATGCCTCAGAT